CTACCCACTGTGATATTACCAATTAATATCTCCAAAGAGGTGTGCTATAATAATTTTGGTATCTATAAAATATGTCCGGCATTCTTTTATATCTGTACATAATACGATAGATTATAATTTAGTTTATAGCAGAAAAAATATTTATTTATAAATTTTATTCTTATTGATATTTTTATTCTTAAATTACAAAACAATACCATCTCATTCAAAGTCAATAATTACAATACCAAGGTCTCTATTAAACCCAATATAACTATACATCTTGATTAATATATTCATTTTCGTTTTCTTTTTGTATTTTGTATTCATGCGTCTTAATTTATGTAATTATTATTTTCTTTCTGTGAGAGGAACAATAAATAGATATTCATTCATTGAAATATATTTTATTAAAAAATATTTCTTTCAGCATCTTATCAAATTATTTATCTAGAACTACTTTTATTAAATTTCGTTAATGGTTGTAAGACCTTACAGCCACTTTAATACTCGCCACCAGAGCAGTGTCATCCGCAAAGCTGCCTAACTTACATTCAGGAACAAGTCGGAAGATCCGCTGTATACATTACGCACAATAGAGAATCTTAGTAGGAGGTAATAAGTGTGTGACATATTATTCTTGATTTTGTACAGGAGTCGCTCATGGCATTCCCGTGATACGCTTGTTGTACGTCAATTCGTCACGTCATTCGATTTATTGATTTACTTAAAATTAATTTGTGTAATATATGTTTAGAATCCTATTCCAATAAATTAATGTAAGATATATAACCAATTGTGAAAAATACTTGAATTTAATATGATTATACCTAAGTATTTATATAATATAGTTAAGTTGGCGTGATATGCAAATCTAGTATTATGATGTGGGTATTTGCATGGATATGCGTATTCTATTCAATAGTTTTACCATATCTAAAATTCAATTGCTATACACACTTCATTTAATCAAGCTATTTTCAATATTATTTCTAGTGTTAGGTATAAAGTGCTAGTTCTCAACCCAATGAATTTCAAGAAACATATAATATATACTTTTTTTACACAATTTATTGTTTATTAAAAAATATATAATAACTATGACTATTACTGAAATGAAATATTTATTTAAATTAATATTTACCCAACTAAATAGTAGCAGACTTATTATAGAAGCATTTTCTGCATTCGCAATATTTCTTTAATCAGAAATTTGCTATATAACTATAGATTAAACGGGTCATTGATCCTAACTACCCCTATACGTAACACTATCAGAGCGCACCATCTCAGCTTCATGCCTTATCATTTACGTAATTATTTCTAACAGCAAGCGATTAGCCGCCGAGACTGGCAATTAAAACTATCTGTACTTTGTTACGCCATAAGGTTTAAGTACCTAAACCACTAGGAATTATATACAACTTAGGTACATAACTTACATACTTTACTAAGTCTTAAGACTTAAAATTCTTTCTTCTGTTGAAATATATGTTATAATTATGATAGTATAATTAGCTCGTAACATAATTATAAGTAGATATAATTAGAACATATATTTCAAGAGAAATATATGTAATAATTTAATTTTATTTATCTACTTTATAATTAATAGTACATTTACGGGATCAACACCAATTTTCTTTATACTATCAAAGAATAATAGTAAAATATAATCATAGACACAAAAATCTAGGTATAAAATTTAAATAAATATATCCTATACAATAATATAACAGTATTTACATAATTTTGACATTATAATTTTATTATTTTGCTGAAAATACTAAGCTCAAATATTTTTATAAAGTATAATATTATACCACAAGAACGTAAAAAAGGAGTAGGTCTGTAATAATTAAATCTATTATATTATCTTCCGAATAAACAATATAGATAAATAAATCATCAATAAATTTCAATATTTGAATAAGAATCGATGGCGTATACTTAATCAAGTATATCTTATACTTGATTAAGTATTATTAAATAATTACTTATTATAAATGTAACTTTGTCTGTCTGTCTGTCTGTCTGTCTGTCTGTCTCGCTTTCACGCCAAAACTACTGAACCAGCAAATAAAGACATAGGCTACTTTTTAGATAATAGAAATACATTATGCGGTTTAATACACACACCATGCGGTATTAAAAATTTTTAATTCAATATTGTACTAGATATGCGACATAAATAAACATATAGATAGAAGTTGCGCAAAGAATGATGGTCTCTTATGAATTTAAATGTATAATCGTTTGCTCTGCAATATTATATAATACATAAATATAATCCTGGTAGACTATAACAACCCTGCTCTGGAAATCTAATCACATATAAAATTTAAATAAATATATCCGTTCCATCTATACAATAATATAACAGTATTTACATAATTTTGACATTATAATTTTTATTATTTTGCTGAAAATACTATTTTTAGCTCAAATATAAATTTTATAAAAAAAGTAAAATAATATAGTTTTTATACCATACAAGAACGTGAAAATTCGCTTTTTTGTCAGTTGGTCTGTAATAATTAAATCTATTATATTATCTTCCGAATAAACAATATAGATAAATAAATCATCAATAAATTTCAATATTTGAATAAGAATCGTATTGATTAAATATAATTAACGTATACTTGACATCATTAGTACCTACCTTCACAGGACTCAGCCATATGTGAAATTTTCATTTTTATAGAACGATGAAACTTTTTTATTGGGTTAGATTATTAATACATATATTTTATTATTTGGTTAAGGTCACTATTTTAACATAACTATCTGTTACGTACTGAATGACTAACAAATTATCAATAAAACTGTCGGTAAAGAAAATACTATATCTGCTGCGAATATAACTATAAAGCTATTGTTTGTTACGAGAGTAGTTTCCACGCCTCAGATAAGAACAAAAAGTCTTGAGAACACTGCTCTGCAGGTTAATATTTATTGTTTGGAGGCACGAAAGCGCAATTCACACAACAGCTTCCGTAGTCCTACTCGTATAAAGGCACGATACGATGCCTGCCTTATATTAAGCAGTGTAGAGTTAATGATCTAAAAGCAACATGAGTGTAGGCTGTCTTTTGTTTTAAAACATATGCTAAAAAATTGCAATAAATTATCATACACGTCAATAATAACAGAGTCTAATAGATTTCCACTGGTTACATTGGTCTATATTTATTACAGAAAATTTAAGATAGTATTTTATAAGTAACCCTTAATATGATTTGATTGTAGGTGAGGGTATTTATAGTGCCGATAGGAGCAAACCGGAGGGTGGGGAAGCATGGGCGAGGCGAGGAGACAATCTCTGCGATGGCTCATTCACTGCTGCAACGAGCCGAGTAGAGAATTGAATTGGAAGCAAATGTGCCGTACGGATACTGGCGTCGAATATAAACTGAACCACTCCCAAGTAAGCACCCCGAAACCTCTCTGATCAAATTACGAGGGAAATAAAGAAAGCCTCTGAAATAAATTTTACATACGTTGAATGTTTTTTAAACAGACTAATATTCAAACTTTTAAGTATTTACCTCTTAAAGCAGTTTTAGAATTATTTTGTAGGTAGTAAAGCAGTTTCATTTGAAGATAGACGCAAGGGTAGACGTGACTGTGACAAGAGCCGTAAGCGTGTACAAGACAGGTACGTAATGAGAGGAGGGTGACGTAGTGAGACTGTCATTCCGACCCGTCCCTATGCCAACTCATATATCAGTTATTTTCCTATAATTTCTTGCCTACATCTTCTAATGTAGAAACTTGTATTTAATAAACTGTATTTATATTATAGAATATGAGTAATAATAAATGCGATTATATTATATATAAAACATTAAAATAGTTTACGTTGTTAAACTCAATAAGAAAAAGTAAATTTATTTTTTTATATTTTAAGGAAGGTCCTTAAAATATTGAATAAAATAATAATTGTCTTCATAAATTTTATTATTAACATAACTTACATTTATTAATTCATTGAAAATATCTATAACATTTTATATTTCGCTATTGTTGTTTTTAACCTTATGCAGTATTAACATCAGTATCGTCCCGGCTCTCCCCTTACCTCCGTTCACGCAAACATTTGTAAGTGACTGGCGATGGCAGCAATGTGATAATACAAGCTGGGGTTGCGTGTTCTGCGAGAAAGCTCCTATGGCTGCTTCATTTCCTGGCGTGCGTCGTGGCTCGGCCTCAATTTCCTCTTCGTTTATATGCCGTTTATAGCTTCTTCAGTGACCGAAGTCATCTAGTAAAACTTTTACTTAGATCCACTGAGCAAATAATTAACTGTGAATTATTCGAATGCAGTGTTTAGTTTTAAATTTAAATATAATTTTTCACGTCATCGCTGATTAATTTTAAATCATGGAATCTCGTCAAGCTTTTAGCCATTGACAATGTATCCAAGCGCCGTTCATTCAGATGAATAACCTCACATAACTTCTTAGAGAGTGAACTGACTGAAGTTTTTATTACCAAAAATAAAGAGTTCATAAAGTTGACTCCAAATGAATTCAAAGTCTAAAAATAAAAAAATAAACTACTAATCTGAAAAAAGTTTAATTTTGTTGGTAATAGAGCTGTAGTAGTATGATAGATATTCAAAGCAGACTCTTGATTATTATTTTGGGTGTGGTTAGGTTGGCGTGTTGATATACAGAAGGAGTGATATTAATAAAAGATTGAATATATGACGGTGTACATAATATCAGAATTAAAAATAAGAAATAATAATTAATTTAACAACTTATTTAAATCAGTAATTTGCAAGCGAATGAATTTGACATTTTAACAATATACTTTTTATTAAAATGTGTTTGTGTTATATGACTAGTTAATGCAAGAAGGTTGGTAGCCTACATTACTCCCCCCTCGAGACCTGGTTAAGGGTGATAAAAATCTGGAAAATGTACACGACGTCCAAAACGAGTCCTACGATTTGTAGTAATATTGGATTCCTGATTGTTACATTCATGTTGGTCACTGAGAATAAAAGCGGGTTAAAGCCTATCGATAGACACAGTATCTTCTTTACCCTTTACAAGCAATTTAAAAATTTTATCACCTCTATGTGTTACAAGATATGGACCTGTATATGCTGGCTGAAGAGAACTACGCAAAGCGTCTTCTCGGAGGAAAACGTAATTGGTAGTGGCTAAATCATTAAAAATAAATATTTTGTCACTTCTGTGACGTGAAGCAGCAATGAGTTTAATTTTCTCTGCAAATGTACATAAACGTGCAAGAAAATCTGTTACATCGGTCGATCCTTCTGAAGAACGATCGAAAAATTCACCAGGCAGTCTTATCGGCTCTCCATAAATAAGATCTGCTGGAGAAGCTTGTAAGTCTTCCTTAAAAGAACTTCGAATACCTAATAGTACCCACGGAAGTGATTCCGTCCAAGAACTTTTTGCATGGCACATCATTGAAGTTTTAAGTTGCCTGTGAAATCGTTCAACAAGACCATTACAAGCTGGATTGTAGACTGTAGTTCGTTTGTGGTGAAAACCGGTCATCTTAGACAAATGTTCGAACATTGCCGACTCAAATTGACGACCACGGTCTATAACAATTTCTTCAGGACATTGGTTGTCCTGAAGAAATTGTTACAGGCCGTGGTCGTCTAGAAATCCATCTAGAAAGTAACGTCTTAACGACAGTTTCTGCGGTAATATCCATTATAGGTATTGCTTTTGGCCATCTTGTAAATCGGTCAACAGCAGTGAGGCAGCACCGATAACCTTGAGTTGAAGACATAGGACCAATAATGTCAATGTGCACTATTTTAAATCATGCTCGAGGTAAATCGTACGTGCCTAATGGAGTGGATACATGACGACTTACTTTAGCACGTTGGTAAGCTATACATGACTGTAATGTAGGTAATTGTGATTCCTTTTTGTAACTAAATATGTAGGTAGATATTTGTGTGACGCTCTCATTAAAATAAGATATCACTGGTTACGGACGTGTTTCATTTATTACATTGGCGACGAGGATTTTTAATGCAAAAAACGGAAGAATATATAGTTAAATTGGAAGTTTGTGACGAAACACGCGTGGAATACTGTGTGCACATAATGTCGATCGGAAAAATTGTAGATTTTGACATTCAGACGGGCAACTGGACGGCTTACGTGGAGCGGTTAGAAATGTATTTTCTAGCAAATAATATAAAAGACAATGTGAAATTACCAACATTAATATCTGTAATGGGGGATAGTGCATATGAATTGTTATCGACACTTGCAAATCCAAAAAAACCATCGGAATTAACATATATCGAAGCAGTGGAGCTATTGCGTCATCACCTCCAACCGAAGCCATCACCGTTGGCAGAACGGTACAAGTTTAGACAGCGGCGACAAACAGACAACGAATCCATCAGTGATTATGTAGCAGTTTTAAAGAAGTTGTGTAAAAATTGTGATTTTGGCAGCACACTGGAGGATAATATAAGAGACCAATTGGTATGTGGTATTCGAAGTGACGTCATCAGACAACGGTTGTTTGCAGAGGAAAAATTAATTACCTACGAAAAAGCGGTGACGTTGGCAGGCTCGTTAGAAGCGGCGGAACGGGATGCGTCCCTTGTCGATTCAGGCAAATACTCATCAGAATTAACCAATAATGCAGTCGACGGGACCAGCGGGCTGCATACCATGGGATCATTCATAAGCCAGCGCGGCGGTAATAGGACACGACCGGCGACAGCAAACGCAAGGCCAGGGGGCGGCATGGTGCCCCGTATTATTGATATTTGCGGGTCATGCGGAGGACGAGATCACTTAGCAAATAACTGCAAATTTATCAGTTATGTCTGCAGTAAGTGCGGTACGACAGGCCATTTGCGTCGAGTCTGTCCCATGGAGAGGCTAACGTCTGGAAGTGGCGGAAGGGAACACCGACAACGTCAGCAACGCGGAATTACAAGAGATCGGCGTGGTTCACGATATAACAATATCGGCGCAGGTGGCGTGCGAAATACGAATTTTATTGGAAATGCCGGATCAATCGACAGCGACGAGATAGCAGATGAAGACAGCCTAGAGGAGGAGCCAGTAATGCAGATGTCGTTATCGCAATACAAACCGGTGAGCATTTATTTAACTGCAGATAATAGGGACTTATTTATGGAAATTGATACGGGTTCCGCACTTTCGTGTATAAGTAAAGAAACATATAATTGTAATTTTGGTCACCTACCATTACTAAAATGTCAAGTAATATTAACATTTTACGACGGAACTAAAGTCTGTCCTTTAGGGTATTGTGAGGTACAAGTGAAATATAAAGGTTGCTCAAAAATATTAGATTTATATGTAATGAATAATGGTACTACGACTCTGGTGGGCCGACAGTGGTTGGCAGAGTTAAATATAGAAATACCAAAGTTCAGTTCCCATACGGTACATGTACCAAAATTATTTTATTTGAATACGCCGACCGCTGTAAATAAATTATTTTCCAGCTACGCTGAGCTGTTCGACGGTGCGGTAGGCCGCTATACTGGCGGCGCGGCGCGGCTGCACGTGCGCGAGGGCGCCGCGCCCGTGTTCTGCCGCGCGCGCCCCCTGCCGTATGCGTTGCGCGAGCGCGTCGACGCGGAGCTCGATGCCATGCTGCGCGGCGGCGCGGCGGCGTCATCGAACCGGTCGACTCCTCGGACTGGGCCACGCCGTTAGTTGTTGTCAATAAGTCGGACGGAGCCATACGAATATGTGCCGATTATAAGGTAACTCTGAATCGCGTCTTATCTGTCGACAAGTATCCGTTACCGAAAATAGATGATCTGTTTTCAAATTTGGGTGGTAGCAAATATTTTAGCAAAATTGACCTATCCCAAGCGTATATTCAAATCGAGTTAGATGATACAAAAAAATACACGGTAATAAACACACATAGGGGGCTGTTTGTTTATGATAGATTTAGTTTATGGCCTTTCCTCTAGCCCGGGAATATTTCAACGTATTATGGCAAACCTATTCAAGGATATACCGGGTGTCGTAACTTTCCTGGATGATGTGTTGATAGCTACTCGAGAGGACTCAATAGAAAGGCACCTATTAACATTGCATAAAGTATTAAGTAGGTTAAAAGAGCACGGATTAAAATTAAAAAAAGAAAAGTGCTCATTTTTTGTCAACAAAGTTAAATATTTGGGATATATAATTGATAAAGACGGTATACATGCAGATCCGGACGAGGTGACCCCTATATTAAATATGGCTATCCCGAGGGATATATCGGAATTGAGATCGTTTATAGGTATGGTTAATTTTTACAGCCGTTTCATTAAGAATTTAAGTATGGACTTACATCCACTTTATTATTTGTTAAAAAAAGATATTTTATGGGAGTGGGGTAAACGGCAACAGTACGCATTCGATAAAGTAAAACGTAGACTGAGCGAAACGGCTGCGCTGTGTCACTACGAGCCGGAGGCCGCGCTCATAGTGACCTGCGACGCGAGCGCGCGTGGGCTGGGCGCGGTACTGGCGCAGCGCACTGCCGACGGCGAGCGGCCGGTCATGTTTGCGTCGCGGGCGCTCACGCCAGCCGAGCTAAACTATAGTCAGATTCAGAAAGAAGCCTTGGCCATAGTGTTCGCTGTTAAGAAATTTCATCAATATCTGTATGGTCGCCCGTTTAAATTGCGAACCGATCACAAGCCATTAGTTACTATTTTTGGACCACAGCACGGTATACCCAGCATGACTGCGAGCAGATTACAACGATGGGCGCTCATACTAACCGCTTATGATTTTGATATTGAATATGTCCGTTCTAGTGAAAATGTGGCTGATGCCTTGTCTAGAATGATAATGACCTACAAGGAAATCGGCTCAGGAGACGGGCAGGAGTGTCCAGAACAAACTTATCTACATTTCGCATCTGAGGCACTGTTGCTTGATTATAATCAATTAAAAATTGAGACGGCAAGAGACTCGACACTGAGCAGAGTCTTAAGTTACTTAAAAGACGGCTGGCCGTCTGAGGTTGAAATAAAAGAATTGAAACCCTTTTTTAATAGACGTCACGAACTTTATGAGGAACTGGGTTGTATAATGTGGGGCCACAGGGTTGTGATTCCAAAAGCGTGTACAGAAAGAGTTTTAAACGAATTGCACGATGCTCATATGGGCATAAATAAAAGTAAGCAGTTAGCTCGCAGCTATGTGTGGTGGCCCGGCGTGGACGAGGCCGTGGAGGCGGTATGCCGCGCCTGCGAGGTGTGCGCGAGCGTGGCTGATGCGCCAGAGCGGCATACACCACGCTCTTGGCCTTGGCCAGAGCGACCTTGGACTCGATTACATTTGGATTTTTTAGGCCCGCTAGAGGGAGCTACTTACCTTGTTACGGTCGATTCTTACTCTAAGTGGATAGAAATATCAAAAGTTTCCTCTACCTCAGCGAACTGTGTTATAGGCATATTAAGAACAATGTGGGCACGTTTTGGGATTCCAAAAAAAATCGTTAGCGACAATGGGCCCCCTTTTTCGAGTGCGGAATTTGCTTCATTTCTAAAGTATAATGGCGTAGAACATGTATTCTCATCACCTTACCATCCGGCATCGAATGGGGCGGCTGAGAATGCGGTGCGAATTTGTAAGAGGGTTATTAAGAAGGCAAACATACAACGCTTAGACGTCATTACCGCACTCAATAGATACTTGTTAATTTACCGTAATACTGAACATTGCACAACAGGGGAAAGTCCAGCTAAACTTCTCCAGGGGCGTTCATTGCGTACACGGCTCGATGTGTTGAAACCGGAGCGGGGTGAACGCGTACGCCGCGAGCAACTGAGGCAAGAAAGTGCCGCGGGAGGCACTATACGTAGCTTCGAACCGGGATCGTGTATATGGTATAGAAATTATAAGAAGGGAACGGCTATTTGGTTGAAGGGAAAAATAGATAAAAGATTGGGACAAACAGATTATAATATCATTACCACCGATAATTCAATTATTCATAGACACGTCGACCAGATAAGATCGCGGTCGGTTACCTTAACGGATACTAGTAGTACGTCTAAAGGAGATGCGAAGCGATCATACTTAATATACCCGGGAGATATAGTGGCGACAGCTGACGGCGAGGTAACTAGCTCCGACCGGAGCCCGCGGCATGAGCTCGGGGCGCGGGCGGGCGGCGGCGCGGACGCGGCGACCTCGCCGCAGGCGGGTCCGGCGCTGGCGTCGGACCCCTCCGTTTCGGAGATACCCAGTCGCAGGCCGCACCGTAACCGTACACCGACTCGCAGATATGGCATTGAATTCGATTAGTTATGTTTATGTCTGTTGAAGTAAATATTAAATATAAAGGTTATTTATAAGCATTACCTATAAATACATGATGTATCTTTTTGGTAAGTGTCATTATGTAAGTTGTGTACTTATGTAGATGTTATAGTATATAAGTCTAGTATGTAGTATTAAATATTGGTGGAGATGTAATGTAGGTAATTGTGATTCCTTTTTGTAACTAAATATGTAGTAGTTTGTGTGACGCTCTCATTAAAATAAGATATCACTGGTTACGGACGTGTAGCCCACAATCTGCAGTCTTTTCTGATGCCAGGCCAAAGAAAACGCTAAGCTATCAATTTAGCTGACGCGTTAGGACCAGGATGGCTCAGGGAATGCAGACTGTTAAAGATTTCTCTTCGAAAGGTCTTGAGTACGAACGGCCTAGGAGTTGCTGTACTGATGTCACAGTACAAGGAAACCCAACTTCCAAGTAACTCTCGTTTTTCAAGACACAAAGAATTAGGATTAACTAAAAATGAGATAATTCGGAATCGGTATCCTGTACTTGTGCTACAGCCACTAAACTGCTGGGTGATTGTAGCTCTTCAACACGAGATAATTTATCAGCTACCACATTATTCTTGTCCGATATATGACGGATATCAGTGGTAAACTGAGAAATATAATCAAAATGTCTATACTGCCTAAGCAAGCAGTTAACTTTCCGTTCATGAAAAGCAAAACTGATCGGTTTATGGTCAGTATAAATTGTAAAATGTCTAGCCTCAAGCATATGATGAAAATATTTTATTGCTTCATAAATTGCTAACAGCTCTCGATCATATGGTGAGTATTTTTGTTGAGATGGACTGAGTTTTTGAGAGAAGAATGCTAAAGGCTCCCAAACGCCATTTCTAAGTTGTTGTAATACTGCACCTATAGCTGTATCTGAAGCATCAGTTACTAACGCGAGATTACTTTCGCACTCAGGATGGGCTAAAAGTGTAGCATTGGAAAGGCTTTCTTTACAAGATTCAAAAGCTTTCAGAGAATCTCCAGTTAAGTTTATAGGAGTAGAACCTTTAACTGAACCTGTTAAAAGAGAATTGAGGGGTGCCTAAGTTTGAGCAGTATGTAAGAAACGCCTATAAAAGTTTATCATGCCCAAAACCGTCTAAGCTGCCTGACATCTTTTGGTGGAGGAAAGTCCTTAATAGCCTTCACCTTAGTGTCAAGTGGCTTTGTACCCTTCTCAGAAATTCGATAACCTAAAAACGTTACTTCTCATGCACCGAAAATAGATTTAGCTGTATTTATTACTATACTGTACTCTCTCATTTTAGTAAAAATTGTACGTAAATGTTGTTCATGCAAGTCCCCTAGTCACCTCTTCAACAAATCTTTGAAAAGATTTACCTACGTTACGCAATCCAAAGGTCATATGCGGAAATTCGTATAAACCAAAAGGAGTTGTAATAGCTGTCTTCGGTATGTTCTCGATATTGACAGGTATCTGTCTGTCTTGTAATAGTAGAAAACACTTTACAGCCAGAGATTGAATGAGTAAAATCATGAATGTGTCTAATCGAATACCTATCAGGAATCAACAATTAAATTATAAAATGATAAAAAATCTACACCTATAATACACTTACATCAGCAACTACAAATCGCCATGGAAATTGCCTACGTAGGCCGAGTAAAATTAATGAAAATTGGTAGATGTTTGAACAGACGTCTTTTTTTGCAGAGCGCAGTGACAGAAGTAGTATAAAATAAAAATTATATAAAGAACATCATATTTTGAATATGGATAAAAAGAATACAAAAATTGCCAGTGACTCTCATTGTAGATCTAACAGTCCGAAGTCCAGATACAAATGTGCATAGCCGTAGGTATCGATGACGCTTCCGTTGGCGGCACGCAGTTGATAATTGGTCTTGGCGCGACGTTCTCGTAGCAGTGATCGAGGAAAGACACAGAAATCGCTTCCGGTATCAACGAGAAACTGAGTCTTTGTATTCCGATCCGTAACGAAAAAGCGACTACTGGAAATTAAGCAATCGCTTGTCGCCACTGTCGACTGCCTTGTTAGTTTTCCTGACTATAGTCGCATGGTTTTACGCACTTGTACGCTTTGCTACCAAATTTATGATAATACCAACATACGGGAAACTTTTTATAATCGGTATGGGACCTTGATGACGATCGGCTACGTTGTGAATGTGAATTCCTAGACCTAGAGCGCTGACGACGATCCAATTGCATAGTGAGTGACTACACTTGTTTACGCAACTCTGCTATTTCATTCGCCATATTACTAGAACTAGGGCCTGCATCATCACAACTCATGACAGCAACTTGGGGTGAACATGGAGCGAGATCCATGATTCTATCAGCTAGATCCGCTAATACATGTAAATCAGCCGTAGGTTGTGCTATAAGGATGGTCTGAATACGTGCAGGAAGAGGGCTGGTCCAAATCGTTTGAAGAAACTCATCCAGTACCCAAGGTCCAGGTAAACTTTGCAAATATCTTAGAAACTGCGAGGGCTTACGATCTCCCAGCATTAATAATTGTTTCACCTTTTTATCCTTTGATGCAGTGAGACGCTTAACTAATTCTAATTTGAGCTTGTCATACTTTCCCTCTACAGACGGATTGATAATTACCTCTTTAGAAAATTGTTGGTCGAGTTGACCTATTACGTAATTAAATTTGATTAATTCATTGGTAATTTTTGAAATAGCGAATTTATCTTCCACCTTAGCAAACCATATTTCCGGCTCTTCGGGCCAAAAGTGCTTTTATTGCTACTTTAAAATTTTCAGATGACATACCGTCTCGTACTGTAGATGTAGTGCTGCTCTCTGTCATACATATTTTATCTTCTAAATTTTCCAAATAAAAATGTTCAATAGGGTTACCAGTGTGGTTACAATACCTTAAGTATCTATCACATTAATGTTCTTCCGTCTTGGTTCTCAACGCTCCATGCATCCTCTCCACTCATCTCATAAAGGCTGCGAATTATACTTATTCTGCACTAAAATAGGTATACTATAGATCGACCTGCTATTGCTATGTTGACTTAAGAATTTATTTTGAAACACCGTTTTCAAGGGCGTATTCTTTAATGCCCAGTTACACGCGTACTTTTAATTAGAGTTAAAGGTTTAACACCAGATTTAATGTAGTAATGAAGTGACTAATCAAAATAAATTCAGAACCTAAATTATTTTAAAACAAAAACTTTTTATTAAAATGTGTTTGTGTTATATGGCTAGATAATGCAAGGAGGTTGGTAGCCTACAAGGGTTATATTTGCTTATTGAATAAGTTAAGTCACAGATATGTAAATAGTGGATACAGGGTTACTTTGAAATATATTTCCAATCTATGAAGTAGAAAATTAATTTGGTGGGTCGGATCCACTACCCTACAATCAAATAGACGAGGGCAAGCTTCGATAGCCGCTTCATTTGTCATCCCCGTGAGCGAACACTGTTTACGCTTCCAATCTCGGCGGATTCACAATTTTAATATTAGCTGATTAAATTGAATAACTTTTATGGGATATCGAATTAAACCTACAATATTTTATCTACATTTGATATTGCTCAAACTGCAGGTCTCTTTACTTAATTCAATTCTACCTCTATTATTACCTATATATATATATACTAGTTGTCCCGGCAAACGTTGTTTAGCCTTAAAATAAAAAAAAATTAGGGGTGGACTACCCCTAAAATTTAGGGGGATGAAAAATAGATGGTGGCCGATTCTCAGACCGATTTTGTGAGCGTATTAAGTAAATACGGGACGAAAACTGTTATTTTATATATAAGATATATATTCTTCTATGATATTCATGCCACATCTACCATTTTATTGTTTTTTCTCTACCTAAAGATTGTTTAAAAAGGAAGATTGCTTGCTTGCGATAAGACCGCCTTTTGTACATCTATATCTCTTTTCTGTATAATTCTTGTGTAAAATGCTTATAAAGAGTTTATAAACAAAATAAATATTAATAAATTACTAATAATTAATAATAAATTACTAATTACTTTAATTATTATCAGGAAACTTACTAATTTATTCATAGTGGATTAGTTAAGTCAAGAAGATTCTATTTCAAATAAAGTAACACCTATCTAACCCAATAACGTGAGCACTTTAAATTGTTCGTTATATTCAAACGATACATTCGTTTACACATATTAATTTAGTTTATTGTCGTAATCATGTCATAGATGTTAAATTCTTTAAAAGCCCCATGGAATATAAAATTATAATAATAATAATAATAATAAAAACTCTTTATTGTGTACACATAAAATAATGAGAAAATACAGTAAATAGTAAAAAATAACAAAAGGCGGTCATCGCTAAATGCAATCTCTTACTGACAACCTAGAAGAGAGGACTTTTGAACATAGAATAGGGTAGGTGGCACACATAAGACACTATTTATTATACTACTAGATATACATACTTACATTAGGGATAAATATATAAACCTACATATATACATACATATATACTACATATTGGAAGAAATGAGAAAAATAAAATAAAATAAAAAAAATGTACTATGAAGAGAGATAATGAGAACTTAGTCTATTTTTAAATGATGCATGTGTTTGAGCTGATCGAATGGAGAGTGGTAGAGAGTTCCAGAGGCGAATGGCTTGGACAGTGAAGGAGTTGGAATAATATGTGGAGGAGTGGCGGATCGTCAAACATAGGCTTTGGTACTAATTTAATATAGAACTTGGAGGGGTTGGAAAAGAATTGATATGAAAATTCCTTGGGAAGCCACTTTGACTGCGAAAATTGGATACTTACGGAGACCAAAAATGAATCGTATGCACATATTTTGGATCGCTCAACATTTTTGCTCTTCATATTAGCAGGAATCCGCATAATCTAGGATTGGAAGTAATAGGGTGTGTGCGAGCGCAGTCTTGGTGTCAACTGGCAGGAAGTACCGTAACCTGTTAATGCTTCCGATAGCACCAAACATTTTCC